ATTTTCATAAAGCCAAAACATTGCTATCTGGAGCTCTGCATATTTCTAACATTTTCTTAATTTGGATATGAAAAAAGCCCTCGACCAGACGGGCTACCAGCTTGGAATTTTCACTCGACCACCCGCAAATTTACTCGACTCGGTCGTCGGTCGAGTGGGTTAAGTCGAAGACTGGAAGAAATTAACATTGTTCCTTACGGGAAGTACGAGTATACGCCGGAAGGTGTCTGTACTATATTGGAAGAAGAAGAAGAAGACACATCGTCGGGAAAAGTCGAAGGGAATTCCAAGTTTTGTTGTCAACACGAAGCTGGGAACCGGTATGTATTTTAGACGATTAAGTTAAGTCTTTTTTTAATAAATAAATAAAAAACCACGTATACAGCTATTGTTTTATTGTATATGATACCAGTGATTAATTACATTGACAGTTTTTTTTCTGTAATCAATCAATTTTAGCAGTAAACTGCACCGTTACATCATACATCATGTCTAAATCCCATCTGTACGTGATTTCTCTGTACTGTTACACTCCCCCCAGCTTTATTTGTCATGAACTACAAGAACTTATTAAATGTCCAGCTGTTTATGACGACATATATCACTATCAGTGATCATTTACAAATTTATGTGTGAATAAACCTGTAACACATTTTTAGCTCGACTATTCGAAGAATATGAGAGCTATTGTAGTCGCCCCGGCGTCGGCGTCCGCGTCGGCGTCCGCGTCGGCGTCTGCGTTGGTTAAAGTTTTTTTGTAAAGTCAAATATCTCAATTATTTCTTGAGATATTCAATTGAAACTTACAATACTTATTTATAGTAACAAGGTAACATCAGATTGACAAGTTGGATAACTCTGCCTACAATATTGACAGAATTATGCCCCTTTTTAACTTAGAAATTTTTGGTTAAAGTTTTTTGTAAAGTCAAAAATATCTCAATTATTGCTTGAGATATTCAATTGAAACTTACAATACTTATTTATAGTAACAATGTACATCAGATTGACAAGTTGGATAACTCTGCCTACCATATTGACAGAATTATGCCCCTTTGGAACTTAGAAATTTTGGTTAAAGTAAATATCTTTGAAGACCGTTAACCTTGAACCAAAATTTCTAAGTTTCAAAGGGGCAAATAATTCTGCAAATATTGCAGACAGAGTTATGCAATTTTGCAAACTGATGTACATTGTTACTATAAATAAGTATTTTAAATTTCAATTGATTATCTCAAGCAATAATTGAGATATTTGACTTTACAAAAAAACTTTAACCAAAATTTCTAAGTTCCAAAGGGGCATAATTCTGTAGTGATTTACTTGATAAAACATCTTAGGCCCATTCTCAATAAAATAAAGCATTTGAGGTTGAAAAATATAAAAAATTTGATGTTGTCATTGTGTCAATTTCTATCGCTGAAGTAAAAGTTTAGGGTATTTTGCAAGTTTGCCAGAAATATTTTGAACAAGAAACTATGATATAACAGGATGGCATTTATTTTGGTAATGACACTGTATTTCTTCGGTAACGTAGATTTCAGATCTAAATAATGTAACATATTGGCTGCATATTAACAACAAATGTCTTTAAAATATATCAAAATCTGTAAATTCTCTATCTAGAAGGACTTTCTAACCCAGGAAAATTCAAAGAAGTTGGGTACCTTGCTAATTTTCAGTTAATTTCTTCAAAGTTAAATATTCGTAGAAAGCAAAAATAGTCAATTTTGGAAATGATTATTTTATGTCTTCATTCAAAGGATATATATCATATATAATATATGAAGAGGTCGAATGCATACACAAATGTTGTATTAGCAATTTTGTTTTCAAAACATTCAACTTTTCACTTTCTTAATATTTGAAAAATTTATTTGCTAGGCAGTTCTATATTTTATCCCCAATATAGGATGTCACGTATGTTTCATTTTATTCAAATGCCAAAGGTAAAAAAGGTTGGGAAAAACAAATTTTTTTTTAAAAATTTTTTGAAAATTAATTTTTTAAAGATTTTTTTGGAAATTAAATTAAATTTTTAAAAACATTTTTTTATTTAAAATAAAAGGGTAATTAATTTTTCCCAAAAAAAGGGGTTTTTATTTTTTTTTGCTGGAAAAATTAAAATTTTTGTAAAAAAATTTTTTTCATTTCTTTTTTGGGAAAAATTCAAAGCAAAAAAATTAATTTTAACCCCATTTTTTTCCCTTTTCCTTTTTTAAAAAAAATTTTAATTTTTAAAAAATTTCAAAAATTAAAAAAAAAAAATTAAAAAAAAAAAAAAAAACAAAAAAAATTTTAAAAAAAAAAATTTAAAAATTTAATTTTAAAAAAAAAAAATTTGAATTTAAAAAAAAATTTTGGAAAAAAAAAATAAAAAAAAAAAAATTTTAAAAAAAAAAAAATTTAAAAAAAATTTAAAAAAATAAAAATTTAAATAAAAAAAAAAAAAAAAAAATTAAAAAAATTTAAAAAATTAATTTTTTTAAAATTTATAAACAAAAAATTAAAAAAAAAAATTTTTAAAAAAAAAAAATTAAAAAAAAAAAAAAAATTTTATTTTTTAAATAAAAATTTAAATTTAAAAAAAAAAAAAAAAATAAATTTTTTTAAAAAATTAAAAAAAAAAAAATTTTTTTTTTAAAAAAAATTTAAAAAAAAAAAAATTAAAAAAAAAAAAAATTAAAAAAAGTAAAAAAAAAAATTAAAAAAATTAAAAAAAATTTAAAAAAAAAAAAATTAAAAATTAAAAAAAAAAATTTGTTTTTTTACTGCTTTTTTTATTTCAATTTCCCCTTTTTGGTTTAAATTTTTAAAATTTTTTTTTTAAAAAGGGGTTAAAACTTTTTTTATTTTTTTTTTTCTTTAAGCGTTTGTTTCTTTTTTACATTAAAAAGAAAGGTTTAAAAATATGACGAAAGCCCTTTTAAACCCGCCAAAATTTTTGTGGTTAATAAAATCAGAGTTACACACATGTTAATTTTCTTTCTTGTTTGGATTCTTCTTTGAATGGATTGGCTCTTAAATAATGGTAACGTATGTTTCTTTTTAAAATGCTGTTGAAAAGATTTGAATAAAAAATGAAAATTTCCAAAATTATAATGTTTTTTGAGAGGCTCCAAGCTTATTTTTACTTATAATTGTATATATGCTGTATTATTAAGCATGCATCGATTCAATTACGTAATTTCGGTTCCACTTATTATTGTTTTAGGTTTGTCACTATTTATTTATATGCATTTGGCGACATTTGATCATCCATTATATCAATGAGATTTTAACAGTCAAATGTAATTTTTACCAATAATCAAAGTTCATATACACACAGCAATGACCAATTGCACATGTTTTCGTTTATTCTGGAACTTATTTTTCTGAGACACAATTTCAAAGTTGAAAATTCTAGGTGGCGACAGTAACGTATGTTACATTTTAGGGCTTTTAAGGGTACTTTTTAAAAAAAAAAAATAAAAAGATAGAAATTTTAAAATTGAAAATTTCCCTATTGGGCCCAAAGTGGCAGCCACCTTTCTAACGACATTTTGACCTCAAGAAAAACCTTCGTATAAGAGCTACCCAGTGGAACATCAAATGCTGTGTCTTATTGAGAATGAGCGCTTAATAACAAGCCTTTGTACCTTTTCTGTCAAATTTATGTATTCATAGGTAATTAGTATTATTATACTCAATAAAAAACCTTGTGACATTACCTTCCGAATAGTTAAGCCAATTCTGTATAATTAGACTCTCTCTAAGGCCTATAACATGAATTTATAAAAAAAAATTAGCCCTTTTGTTAACTTAAAAAATTTAACAATATCAAGGCTCTTTTACTATCAAGCACTTAGAATAGTCGAGCATGCTGTCCTACAGACAGCTCTTGTACTGTAAGTAAGCTGTATTCATATTGCACATGTACTAGCACTTATGCTGCAATACATACATAAAAACTGTGGCATTATCCTTTCAAAATACCAAATAACAATAATAGGTCGAGCGTACTGCTGTGACCATTCATGTGACCATTCGTGGATGTTACATCAATACATATAATATATGCCAATTTTAATGATAAGATTTAGATGTAAATGGTTTCAATCAAACATTTTGCTTCATTGCTTCTATTGTTTGGTATTTTTAGCAATGATCGACAGTTTAGGTGGGCTCGTTCGTGTAAATAACTTCCTGGCATCATTGAACCTGAAGCCGATTAGTAACAAAAACCTAAAGACCATGGAGAGACGGGCTGGAAACATTGTTGAACATGTGGCCGACATGTCAACTCGCAAGGCAGCCAAGGATGCCTTCCATCAAGAAATGAAGTAAGATTCAGATAATTGCTTGCATCAACAATTTCTAAATTGTTCATTTACATGGTCAATGAAAATGTGGATATTGAATGATGATTTGCTCTGGGAATGCCAAGCTATATAAATGCTTGTTTTCTTTGTATTGAACTGGATTTTCCCATGAATGATGGTTAGATGAACAGTCTGGCTGTACATTTTAAAAATACTTTTGTGAATGGATGTTAGACTGAACATAACAAAACATTTAAATTTGATAATTGTATAAAAACCATCATAATCAATTAACTATAAAGATGACATTGTCAACACAACAGGCTTACAGGGTTTGAAAAATCCGGGCATTTCGAACCCTGACACATAACATTATAATGTTTTTGTTTACACTCGGTCAAGATAGCATTTATATTTCAGGGAAGTGGCTGAGTCCAAGAGAGCTGCTGACAGGATGGAAGGCCTTATCGAAGATCTTGGTGTATCTCCACTTCCAGATGTCTCCCCTAAACTAAAGTAAGTCTATTTACAGTCATATAGCATTTATAAAGATATCCATTATCATAAGCAGGAGCATAACAGATCTATAATTTATAAATTTTTACAGCTGAGAGTATTTTATTTACAAGTTTACTGTTCATTCCATTCTTATATATAGTTCTCACATAATTTTGCTTATTATTTTTCTTTACTCGCTAGATTGATGTTACAACCTGACAACCAGGTGGATGATGATTGGACTGATATAGATGAGGATAATGATGAAACTGATGATGTGAGACGCTCCTCTGCTTTTAAAAGGTACAAAAAAGAGTGCTAATATTGTAAACTGTCTGTCAAATCATGAAGTGAACCTTACTAAAAAAGACACAGGCCTTTGCAAACTGCTTTGAATTAGAGCAGATGCCAATTAAATCAGCATCTGGACAGGTTCCAAGCCATTCAGACACTATTTCTACCAATTGTTAAGAAAAATGGCCAAAAATACATATACCTGGCAGACAACATTTAGCAGACAACATTTTTTTCCCAACATGTAAAGCGTTAATATTCTGACCCACATTCTGATAAAATAAGGAAAGCTTTTGTCTTTCAAAAATTACTTAGTGGTGTTAATTGTAAAGTGTGGATATTTCTTCTGCATATTACAGGAGACGTTATCAAGTTATAAAACATAAAAAAAACATCCAATGCTGTCTCGGGCACAGAAAACACCATCAAGTTGAGTGTGTCTGGCATCGAAGTTCCCTTGTCACTCTAGAACAGGAATGTCTTGTGCGGTAGATACTGCCTGGCACAATCGTGGCTTTGACAGCTTGACTTGTAAGTAATAAGTTATAAACTAACTTACCAGTTTAATCGCAACACCAGCAGTAGTGAAGAGTGTCTAAACACATACAAAATTTTAAACGTTAAGGCAATTTGCAATCGAAATGTACTGATTAAGTGATCAATGTTTTGATTAAGTGTTTGCTTTGAGAAGACTACCATCTTGGAATGTGAATTCTTATGTAATTTTGTTGTGATTAATGCTTCCAAGGGATCACTTTGTTTCCAGATTTTTTTTTTCATGGTGGGTTCTAATATTTCTTGTTGCTTTTTGTAAATAGATGTTTAAGTTCTCCAACAGAAAGCAAAATGATACACAGATGTCATTAGTTGTTCATATGTAAATTTTTCAGCTCACAGCTTCTTCATGAGCAAGGCACAGTATGGAAAGAAAGTAGTGAAAGCAGTCGTTAGTCATCGGACATGCGGAGTTTGCAAATGGTGGAAAAGGAATAGACCTTCAGAGGCAGTACGAAATCATCGTTGTGTTCATGATCACACAGGAAGTGTCAGGCTTATGGAAAGTGTATCGGGTGAGCGGGGTGTATGTGAGCTACACAAGGACGGAACTCCTGTGGAAGTGATTGAAGGCGATGGAGATAACACCATGATAGCTCGTCTGAAATCCAAATCAAACATTAGCTTGAAAAAGAAATTTGACAGGAATCATATAGTGAAAAACATTGGAAAGAAGCTATATGCTCTTCAGGCGGACAAAAGCACAAAGCTCAGTAAGTTAGTGATCCTACACATTCAGAAATGTGTGAAGTATATTCTAGCAAAGAATCAAGGTGATCCAAAGGGAATAGAAGAAAATCTTAAAGCTTTAGTACCTCATCAATTCGCAGACCACACAATGTGCCAGCCTCCATGGTGTGGGTACAAGCGTGACCGCAGCGTTAAATACTCGCACAGAAGCCTGCCCTATAAAGGACCGCTGAAGGACGACCACCTTAGATCTCAGCTAGAAAAACTGTTTGAACCAGTTGTGATGAAGGCTCCCCAGCTCGCAGACCTCGGTTCAAGTCAGCAGTGTGAGCACGCAATCAGAGAGGTCACCATGACGGCTCCAAAGTCCCTTCATTATGGGAATTCAGAATCTTTGGATTTTAGAGTGAAGGCCACAGCAGCATTCATCAATGAAGCGCGTCACTACATTTCAAAGGTACATCTCTTGTTACTGTTTAAGTTTGTTCTGTTTAGTTTGCTTGTTATTTTATTTACAAATGTTAGACCAGTACAGACATAGTTTTGAACAACAATTAAGAAAGTCATAACAACCTTTCATTTGTGGTATAGTAGTTCTGGAGACCCTGTTTCCTTGTTATTAGATGTTTCAGTATTACATATATTTGTGAATTTTTCATGCATAATTTTGGCAAACTTCAACCATCACTCGTCATAAAGTAATAAGCATTGATTTATATTTGAGAAAGAGAAAACAGTCTCTTTCAGATTGTTGAAGCCTTTGAAAAAAAAAGAATAATTTTCATGGAAGTGTATTTTGTTGGATGTATTGCCAAAATAATGTTGGAATGTTTGTTTGACGGTTGATTGATGTTAATTGTTTATTGAAGTTTGTTGTTTTTGTTCAGCTGTTCCAGTTCAGCACTTCAATTATTCAAGGAACAAGATGTTGACAGGTGACTATCATAAGGTAAATACTCTATTATCTAGAACTTTTGAAAGATTGTCATTAAATTTTCAGTTATGCTTTGTGCAGATAGGACCTGTATGCCAGTCAGTTTTATGAGACAAACAATCCACAAGATCGTATCGATTTATTCAGGGAATAGACATACATGTATACACATACAATTTTATCACAGATATCAACTTGAATATAAATAAAAACACACACATAAATGCACAAAAATAATTATACGATTAATCAATAAGTATGTTCTATGTAACCCTAGGATTGCCCATTAAGCTAAAAGCTTATTTCCAATGGGGTCCATTTTCTGTAAAATTATTACACTAACTTACAGAATGATAAATGAATTATAAAGAAGTTAAACTTAATGACAATTTTCAATAATCAAAACACATTTTTCAATATAATAAGACAAGTACATTGTACACAAACAAAATGAAAAAAGTTTCTTTTAAACTAAAACATATCAAGTACACATAAACATGTTTCAAAACCTTATCATAAGTTACACATCAATTTAATAATAAATATACATATTATTCACTTGTTTATCATTTTCATTACTTAAAAAAAGTTTTACTTTCGTTTTAAATGTTTGGATATTGTCAATTGATCTAATGTTGTCTGGTAAAGAATTCCAGTCTTTAATGGCATTGTAGAAAAATGTATTTTTTACATAAGAATCATTTTGAGGTAAAACAAAATTAAAATTACTGGATCTTAAATTGGATATTCTACAAACCTTAAACAATTCCTTTAAATAGGAAGGGCTTTTGTTGTAATAAACTTTATGAATGTGGTTGAGTCTTAACTGTCTAACTCTATCATTGACATTTAATAATTTAAGATCGGACAGAACCTTATTTGTCACTGAAGTCCTAGGAGTGTAGTCTTTTATAAAGCGCACAACCTTATTTTGAGCTACTTGAAGTTTGTGCTTCAGTGACTTACTCAGTCCTTCGTACCAAGAAGATGAAGAATAATCAAAGTGACACAGCAAAAGGGCAGGACATAACTGTTTCTTTATTTCTTCCGATAAACAATTTTTGTAACGGTATAGAAAATGTAATCTTCCATTCACCTTTGAAAGAATGCTCTTGACAATTTTATCTCCTGATAGGTAACAATCGATATTCAAACCAAGATATTTAACTTCAGACGAAGACTTTATTGTTTGATCATTACATGAAATGGAAAAATTTTGTAATTTATTAATTTTCGATTTAGAACCAAATAGCATACATTCAGTCTTGCCCAGGTGTAGAGATAATTTATTATCAACTAACCAATCTGAGCATCGTTCCAATACCTTTCCAAGTTTTTGGGCTATAATTTTTGGATCCTTATGCGAAAATAATATTGTGCTATCATCTGCATATAAAATTAACTTGCATTCAGAATCGATACTTGTTACCATGTCATTAACGTAGCAGAGAAATAGAAGAGGACCCAAAATACTGCCCTGAGGGACCCCACACGTAATAGGAAATGAGTCAGAAAAAACTTTACCAATACTTACTTTCTGATACCTACCTGACAAGTATGATTTAAACCAAGAAATAGATTTGACACCTAATATATCTAATTTATCACACAAAATATCATGATTGACGGTATCAAAAGCTTTTTGTAAGTCCATCATAACCATACCAGTGAGTAACCCTTTGGAGCTATTTGTACGGATATAGTCAAGTAGGTAAATAAGACATGTGTCAGTTGAATGAGATTTCCGAAACCCGGACTGGTGTTCGTAAATTAGATTATTAGTTCTTAAAAATGACTCAAATTGTACATACACGGCCCGTTCTAGAATCTTGGATACAATACATAAAATACTAACTGGTCTGTAATTCCCGACATCTAGCTTACTATTCTTTTTGTGTAGAGGTTTTACTTTAGCAATTTTCATATCATCTGGGACAACCCCCTCTGTTATTGAAGAATTCACAATATAAGTTATAGGGATTTTTAACACATCAGCACCATCTTTTAGAAATTTTGCAGGGATACCATCTAATCCAGTGCTTTTGCTTATATTAAGCCTACATAATTCTTTATATACAAACTCCTCACTTACATGACGAAGGTGAAACTCTTTTTGTGATATGTTCCTATAATAATTCTTAATTGTATCGGATGCCACACTATAAAAGTTCTTTGCTGCCGGGAGTTTCTGTACTAAATTAGATGCAATATTTGTAAAGAAGTTATTAAAATGACTTGCAACTCTACAAGGATCGTGATAAGTTTCACCATCAATCGACAAAACGATATTCGGACTTTCTTTTTTATTGTTACTGTAACCAAGGTTTTTGATATTCTGCCATAGTTTCTTATTGTCGTTCTTATTATCTAATATTTGCCCTTTGAAGTATTCAGATTTTGCCAATTTTATAGATTGTTGTACTTCATTGCGAAGTTTATTGAACAAAATCTTGTCAGAATTATTACGACTTTTTCTATACCTTGCATATGCTTTCTCTCGCCTATGTATCAGATCTAGAATATTTGAATCTATCCAAGGTTCAGTTTGATTTTTAAGTCTAATTTCCTTAAATGGAGCAATCTTATCTAATATGACTTTTATATAAAGATATAAGCAATTGCTGTTGAAAATGTTGAGTGATAATGAAGAAAAATATTGCTTATATACCACTATGCACCTTGATGGAATGTATTAAGTGTTGGTGTGAAAAGCAAACTTTATTGAATAATGGTGTTACTTTTACAAAAATCATAATGCAATTTTCCTCAACAATAGTAAAGAGTTATGAATAGTTCCCATTTTATCTGAATTATTTTTGCCTGGGTTTATATATAGATCAAGAAAATTCTTTTCTTACAATATCCATGTTTGACTGAATATGTCATTTTAAAGTGTGCTAAATAATCTGATTACTGCTGTCAGGTACACTCCGAGGCAGGTCTTTCCCCTGGTGTCCACAGCCTCAGATATGCAGATAAATGCCTGAAGCATAGGAAGCGTGTCCAGGAAAGATCGGCACTGCCATCGACTAAGCGGCGGCGACTACAACTAAAACAAGAGCGGTCAATAACACAAGGTGCTCAAGAAGCTCTTGAAGACATGTCCTATCAGTCAGGTAGGTAAAGTGATTTGTGCTGTTTTTTTTTTACTTACAGAACAAACATATGAGCCGTGTAACGACAAAACCAACATAATTGGTTTGCGACCAGCATGGATCCAGATCAGCCTGCGCATCCATGCAGTCTGATCAGGATCCATTCTGTTCGCTTTCCAACTCTATTACAAGTAGAGAAACTGATAGCGAACAGCATGGGCTGGTTTGGATCCATGCTGGTCGCAAACCCATTATGTTGGTTTTGTCGTGACACGACTCATATACATGTATTTTGACAAAATACTGTCAGTCTTGCAGGTACTGGTGTTTTCCTTCTTCTTTTCCTTCGAACATCATTAGGAGCTTGAAACTATAAATATTACTAATACGTCGTATCTGCAGTTCTGATGACAATTTTGATAAATGCACGGAAAACTTATTTAAGAACCTTCGAATGAGAGGATACCCTTGTAAACTAATTAAACACGCAATAAGCAAAGCTAGAAGAATGAATCGAAAGAATCTATTTACGTGCAAAGAACCACGGAATCAGGATAAACAAATCATTCCATTCATCACCACTTACAACCCATTTATTCCGCCAGCGCAAAAAATTTTTAATACATTTCTAAAGATTCTACAAGAGAACAGATCCACAAACTTTATTAAAAATACCAAAATTCTAGCAGTTCATCGTCGAACGAAAAACACGAGAGATCTATTGGTCAAGTCAAATTTAAACTGCAAGAAATTAACACAGGGAAGCTACGCATGCAAACAAAATTGTTTTGCTTGTAAATTCATGAAAAACTCGACAGAGATTAAAAGCACAACAACGTCCGAGGTATTTAAAATTCAAGGTCAATTTACATGTAAAACTCCGAGCATTATATACCTAATAACTTGCAAAAATTGTAACATTCAGTACGTGGGTCAGACGGGAAACACTATCAAAGAAAGACTCTATGGTCATATGGCAGATATTCGCGCGAAAAACACATTTAAACCAATTGTGCGCCATTTCGGCACTGAACACGACGTCACGGACATCACGATTTCAATAATACAAAACACGGAGCGCAACCTAAACAAACGATTACGAACCGAAGAACTATGGATAAAGAAGTTAAATACCAAAACACCGGACGGATTGAATTTAATTTAAAAGAAGTACTATACGCTAAAAAATTAGAAGACAATACACAGAAAGAATTAGAACAACTAAATTTTATAGACAACTTTCACGTATGTAACATATGCAAACTAGTCGTTCATTCAGCAAAAAACCTGAGAAGACACATGAAGAAACATGAACAAACAACAATTAAATTTAGATGTGATTGGTGCCAGAAATTATTAGCAAGGAGAGACTCTCTAAAACGTCATTCAAAAAATATCCATTTTTTACGTGAGGAAAAATTCCATATAGTGAAAATTCTTAATTCCATGACTCCATCAAAAGACCCTCCCAAAAAGATGACCATCCTTAAGAAACCCACCTTCAGAATTATCCAAGGCAAAACCGGACAACTGGACTTAAAAAAGAAGAAAATTCACAAACAACCAAAGACAGAAGACCTAAAATTTAACATTCCCAGACCAATATCACCACTAAGCCCTACACCAAAAACAGAAGAACATCTACAAACAGACAGAACCACATCACCAACGAATAGCTCCTCAACATCAACTATCTGCGAGGATGAACATTTAATGCATAATAGTGAAATGAACTAATCATCAACGTGTACAGTATATATGGTATTTTTCAAAAAACAATTTAAAGTTCAACCTAAAGAAACTTGGCACAACTCCATAATTTTCCTGGCAATTTTCCAAAACTCTATCTTTTTTTAGAAAACTTTATTAATTTTGTTACTATTTTTATATATCACGTGACTTACCATCTTACACAATTTTTATACTTTAGCTAGATTTATACTTTGTAAAATTTATCCTGATGAAGAACCAGATAGGTTCGAAACGGTAGATCTTTTATTAAAATTTTGTTAACATTTATCCGGTGTTGATGTGTGGTTTCTTTGAATTCTTCCTTTTTATCCAGTTTATAAATATTACTAATCAAAGTTTGCAAATTACCTTTTGTTTCCTTTTATAGGTTATATTCTAATCTATATAATTATTTGTATTTCAGAGATCGGGCATTCAGATGATGCTGACATCCAAAAGCTGCCAGATCTAGTCCCTCGTGGTGACTTCAAACCTATAGTGCTGCCAACAGGACAGCCTACATACATTGCTTTTGACCTGGAGACAAACTGGCCTTAGTAAGTAGACCTGTATTGCAAATTTGTTGATATATATCATGTGAAAACTGTAACACAGTTGCTTTTATTTTAGGTTATCGTAATCGATACTAGGTTGAGTGATTAGTTGTCTCTTAAAATATAATTGTAAAAAAATATGCAATATATCAGGAATGGTTTATCCTTATTTGGAACAAGCTGAATTAGAATAAGATCTCAGATTATTATAAGAGCACATAAAACAGCTCAAAATTGTTTATTTATTTATAAATAATTGTGTTGTTCATTTCAGTACAAGATGGCCAGATCCCACATATTACCCAGGTTGCTGCCACAGAACCTAAAAGTGGGAAAGCTTTCAATATGTATGTTCTACCTACATTGCCCATATCTGACAAGGCACAAGAAGTGACCGGCCTAAGAATGGTGGATCACAAGATGCAGTACAATGGAACTAATGTAGAAGCTTATTCCATATATGAAGCTTTGAAATCATATTGTGATTGGTTAGAAAAATTTCAGAATGTTGTATTAGTTGCGCATAATGGCAGAAGATTTGACTTTCCTGTTTTGTTGACGGCATGTGACAATGTAGGATTGAGGGACAGAATGTGTAAGTGTGTTGCTGGATGCGCGGATTCACTGTCTATATTTAGAAAAGCATACCCAAACAGGAAGTCTTACAAACAGGAAGACCTTGCAAAGGATCTATTGGGAGCTTCATACTGTGCTCATAATGCTTCAGAAGATGTCTTGATTCTTGGTAAACTTATTCACCACTTGGACATATTATCTGTTGATATGCTGCCACACACATTTTCAGCAAAATCTGTGTACAATTCCCAGTTGTGCAGTCGGAAGAAGTTGATAACACAGCCTGATTATGGAAAAACCCTTATTAACTTGCTGTCACATGTAAATGAATTTCTTGGAAAGGTTGTATATGAAGACTATATGTAACAATAATTGAATAATGAAAATATTACAGTACATTTGAATTGTTTTGATTATAGATTTCATTTTTAGCTCGACTATTCGAAGAATATGAGAGCTATTGTAGTCGCCCCGGCGTCGGCGTCCGCGTCCGCGTCGGCGTCTGCGTTGGTTAAAGTTTTTTGTAAAGTCAAATATCTCAATTATTACTTGAGATATTCAATTGAAACTTACAATACTTATTTATAGTAACAAGGTTCATCAGATTGACAAGTTGGATAACTCTGCCTACAATATTGACAGAATTATGCCCCTTTTTAACTTAGAAATTTTGGTTAAAGTTTTTGTAAAGTCAAATATCTCAATTATTGCTTGAGATATTCAATTGAAACTTACAATACTTATTTATAATAACAAGGTACATCAGATTGACAAGTTGGATAACTCTGCCTACAATATTGACAGAATAATGCCCCTTTTTAACTTAGAAATTTTGGTTAAAGTTTTTTGTAAAGTCAAATATCTCAATTATTGCTCGAGATATTCAATTGAAACTTACAATACTTATTTATAATAACAAGGTACATCAGATTGACAAGTTGGATAACTCTGCCTACAATATTGACAGAATAATGCCCCTTTTTAACTTAGAAATTTTGGTTAAAGTTTTTTGTAAAGTCAAATATCTCAATTATTGCTCGAGATATTCAATTGAAACTTCCAATACTTATTTATAGTACTAATGTACATCAGATTGACAAGTTGGATAAATCTGCCTACCATATTGACAGAATTATGCCCCTTTGGAACTTAGAAATTTTGGTTAAAGTTTTTTGTAAAGTCAAATATCTCAATTATTGCTTGAGATAATCAATTGAAATTTAAAATACTTATTTATAGTAACAATGTACATCAGTTTGCAAAATTGCATAACTCTGTCTGCAATATTTGCAGAATTATTTGCCCCTTTGAAACTTAGAAATTTTGGTTAAAGGTTAACGGTCTTCAAAGATATTTACTTGAAACTTTACACATGCACTTATGGTCATAATTGGAGGGTCATAATTGTATGTCACTGACCAAGTTCCATAACTCTATCTTGCATTAAGGCTGATTCATATCCCCTTTTCTACTTAGTCTCTTGGTTAATGTTTACATGCAAGTTTTACATATCTCAATAACTATTAAAGATATTTGTTTAAAACTTCACATATGCATTTAGGGTCATAATTGTAGGTCACTGACAAAGATCCATAATTCTGTCTTGCATTTAGGCTGATTTTTCTCCCCTTTTTCAACTTAGAAATTCATGGTAAAGTTTTGCTTGTAAGCTGTTATCTCAATAACTACTGAAGGGTTTGTGCCTTTTTTGGGACAATTTTATGCATTCATAATAATAAAGTAGTGATTTACTTGATAAAACATCTTAATAACAAGCCTTTGTACCTTTTCTGTCAAATTTATGTATTCATAGGTAATTAGTATTATTATACTCAATAAAAAACCCTTGTGACATTACCTTCCGAATAGTCAAGCCAATTCTGTATAATTAGACTCTCTCTAAGGCCTATAACATGAATTTATAAAAAAAAAATTAGCCCTTTTGTGAACTTAGAAAATTTAACAATATCAAGGCTCTTTTACTATCAAGCACTTAGAATAGTCGAGCATGCTGTCCTACAGACAGCTCTTGTTATTAATAAAAGATTAAGTAATGCATTTGAAAATAAATCTGTAGAGATTAATACAACACACTGGAATATATGTATAAATGCATTGATGTACTATAATTTGGTGATTTAGTCTTGTAGGATGATTCAATTAATTGACTTTGTATAGAGTTCAAGCCAGATCATGCATTTTATTAGATAGCATCACTGGAAACTCAATATGACTGTTTCAATATTCTATACTGCAGTCCATTTAGCGGGTGTTTCAAAAACTGATTTCGTTATTGCTCATCTATCAGCTTGCCTAGCAATACACAGATGGAACATCGCATCTTCCTTGTCTCATAAATAACTTTTGAAGAAAAAAGCCTTGGTGCATGTGAGTCACTTGTTAGGGACATTGACCTTGGTCAGAAGATGACCCATATTGTTTTCGAGGTCAGTAGGTTAAAATCAACATGGCTTTGATGACAAAAATGGATTATATTATCAAGCAATGTATACTTTGGTAATTTCAGTGCTTTGATTAACTCAGTAGCCGAACTACTTTTGAATGCAATGAAAAGAGCATATCTTATAATTAAGTGCATATGTCTACAGAAATACTCTCCGTTGTAACAATTATAAAAAAGAAGCACATGATTATCTGGAATAAAGTAAAATTCATGAAATTGTTTTGTTGCATTTTAACTTTAAAAGTATTTCTTTGAAAAAATAAGACGGTTTAATGATTATATCACAAGCCTTATTATATTAAATATTTTTCCTATCTTTCTGTGATGATGACGATGTAAGTGAAATTTTGTCAATCGAAAGTTTTGAGTTAATGATTTATAAAGGCATTTTAGAAATATTTCGATGAACGAAAACATTTATTTGATTGAATAAATCCAATAAATCCGTGTTCTTTAACAACACTATATTTGACTTTGTTTATATTTAGACAAAGATTGGCATATAAACTAACGTAATAGATAAATAAATAATTTCCTGTATTAAAATATAAATTAAAACATTAAATGAATTATTAATTAATCATTTAATTATTAATTTATTATTTAATCAATTAAAAGTGTTGTTTATTTTTGTTACAGAACAGAACAGTTCCTTTATTTCTTTCCCAGGGTACATGGCAATACAACATGAGGGAAACGTTATGGATGAGCAAATAGCCAATGTGGTCAAGGGGACATAATCACACAAAGTTAAGATTAAAATCAAATAAGGCCGACAGAGTTACCTTTCTTGGAAAATAGTAAAAACCTTAAAAATAGCACTTGGTTACATATATACTATAAACAGATACAATATTTTAAACAAACTTCAGGTAGCACTTTATCAGCCGTTGAAAAGTGTTTTGATTCAAAATAGCATGAAAATTCAGTAACATTTAAAGATTAAGATGTTTATTTTTGTTATGATTTAAAGCACTTCAAGACCCATAAAGGTCATATAGCGACGTTCCAGAGGAAGACCTCAGGTGCTCTTCCGTGCATTATCAGTGTCACGAACGGCACCGGAGTAGAACCACCGATGTTCCGTAAGCTAGCCGGAAAGCTGCCACACACGAAAGAATCCAAGGTCGGGATTCGAACCCACAGCGGTAAGGGGCAAGTGGTTTGAAGTTAACGACCTTTACCACTCGGCCACGGATGCCTATAAGTCACATACATTTATAACCAATTAGCTGTACCATTTTCTTGGGACAACCAATTCACTGTATCTTTTTCTTGGGACAACCAATTCACTTTTCCTTTTTCTTGGGACAACCAATTCACTGTACCATTTTCTTTGACAACCAATTCATTTCTTGGACAACCAAATTCAAGCAAACGAAATAACAAGAAGTAAATGCTGTTTCAGATATTTTTTATTGAGTTATGAAGTTGCATGTCAACACTTAGTGTTGAAAAAAACAAGACAAAAACAAACAATATGCATGTACAACGATTTAAAATGTTACAGTTTTCTATATCGTATTTCATTATCAAAATTGCAACAATATTTCTATAATAACTTTATCTAAAAAAATTTCTCAACTTTTTTCTTTAAAATCTATACAAACAGGACTAATATAATTCGTAAAATCTAAAAGTACATTGAAATATATCTGAGTCATGAAGAAATTTTCTACACTGTTCCTCCATATTCAAATTTCAAAACCGATCAGAGGCTTTGTTATGACATTTTTGTAATATAATGAATATGGGACATAAATTCAACAGACATTTATACATACACACATTCAATGCTTTTATTTCCAATTTCAGACTTGAAATTAAATTTGTATTGTGCTTCAAATAGTATATATCTAAATATAGAAACCTCCACATTCTTAATAATCATTTTCAACAACTCTTTTTAAGTAACAGCCATTTAAATACAAAAAATTGTAAAAGATGACATTAAAAATATAACATTTCAAATTTAAAAATAGAGTAAACATTAACAACTTGTTTAAGAAATTTAAACAAATCCAGCTGCTTTAAATACAAGTTCTATCTTAACCAATTAAAATTTGACATTAAAATGTAACAAAAAGAAAATCGACATAAGAATTCTAACATTACTACAAACCCCTGCATAAATCAGGACAGAAAACATATGTATATGTATTTGTAAGTCCTATTTTCTGACATAACCTATGTTGCCACCATTAATTAACTGTTAGGTCACTAGATTAAGAACTCAAGATTGCACATGGTTAATTTACTTAGAGTAGATTTATTTGACAAGAATATGTCTGTAACCATTTATCCAGCATTGTTTTAAATTATTTTAAAGGACAGGCTACTTTGGGACAAACTCAGGTATGTTATTTGTAAAAGAAGCAAGAACACCTATTATGTATCAGCATGAAGGAAATTTTTTTACTATAATCCTGATAAAACTGGTATTTGATCTAACATAATTCCCAACACACAATGGCAATAATTATCTGACGTGTTCTGAATGCTGGTTATTGCTAATAAAATATTGAAAAGAACCGATAACAAATTTTGTTCATTAACAGCCAGGTAAAAAATCCTTATTCCGTCAAAATAGTTAACATTCATAGTTAACATACTTATAGACAGATAACAAAAACTTAGTTTCATAACAAAAAAACATGATCTTTTCCAAATCATTTATCAATTAATCATTAAGTAATCAAATCAATTTTTTTTTATTTCCAAGTTATGCAACATAACAAATTGAACATTATCTTCTTACATCTATTGTATGCTTATAATACATGATCTATAAGTCATTAATCAACTTTGAGAACACGGCAACATTTTTAAGTAACATTTCACATTACAAATACTGTATTACATGTATATTTATAAAAAGAAGTAAATTAGGAAACAGTAAGACTTTAGACAGATTAATTTAATATATTTAAAACACATGTCAGTTTTCTATTTTTTCGGGACGTGTAAACTCAGTAACCAAACCACACACTGTCCTCATGTTGCTGATGTCTTTCTCATTAAGACAAAAGAAAACAAATAAGACAAAAGAGACCAAAGCAGGCAAAAGTAGCCAAACTAGGAAAAAGGAGAAGAGTTTGAGGATTGTATATTTCTTCACTGTAAATAAAATTCAATTATTTTTAGCCTTCTAATACATCAGTTTTCCTTCCTTTGAAACTGTTCTACATGTACTTAGCAGAATATAAGATAGAATTTTAAAAACTTTTTTCTCTCTCTCTTAAAATTTCTCCATGAAACCAACCAATGAAATCCTATATATCTCTTCTCCTTTAAAATCTATTTATTCAATCCTGATCTTAAGATTGAACTTTAACAAAATTAAACGACAATTATTTTTTGTTAGTAAAAAGCACAGCAGAAAATCAAAGTAAGATACAGATATATTTGAAATGTTTAGTCTAAGAATAGACTATGTCACTTGAAAAGGCACTACACACAAAACCTTGTTTAATTCATTTACTTCAGTCAAACTTGATGACAATATAGGACAAAAAATTACCAATATTGTCCTATATTTTTGTGGATATGGTAAAATTTAGAACATTTTAACTATTAAGAGTATTTATACACAGCGTTTGATAATTTTGTTCATCGATGCTATTTAGATTTTATTAAATAACAGAAAACATTTGCCATTGATGCTTCGATGTTTGACTATTAAATTAAACCACAGAGGTCAGTTATAAAGAAAAATAAATTTCCTAACAAGAGATAGACATATGTTGTTGAACATTTCTTGAAATAATGATCACTTTTTAAATCATATATCCACATTGTTATTCCATTTCTCTTCTGTATGGGAAAATATGAGCTAATTTACAAAATGAATGAATAAAATGATCAATGCCTATAACAACTGCTGTCAACAACAATTTAACACCAGAAAAATCAGAAATCATTTCCTTTTCATATTACAGTCCCAGTATTCAGCACTTCCATTTTTATTGGAACCAAGTTATAAAACATTTTATTCACTGTAAAGGCAAATCCACAGTTCTATATATAAAAGAGCATAATAAAAACACACACAGATTGCAAGTTTTAAATATTAATCTAATAATAATGTTCAAATCTGACTAGATTTCATCGTTTCAAAACTCCCATAATTCCCTGTGATACAACACAATCTGTCCTAGCAGTGTAAGTCTTCTTTCTTGTAAAGTAAATCCATCTGTTTTCTTTTCATTTTGAAGATATCACTTTATATCACATGATGAACACCATGGCAAAATATGTTGTTGTTTTTTTACCTTAGAACTTGATTTTTTTTAATAAGAAATCATACATTTCTAAACAATTTTTCTTTCTTCCCAGAAACACTTCTGTTTAAAACATCAACTGAATCCTCATCAACTATTTCATAGTTATTTTTCTTCTTTTTTTTATTATCGAAATTTTTTTTCTAAGAAACCGTATCAACACAAGAATTGAAGGGTGTTTTTCTTGACCAACAATACGTCAAGTTTTGACCAATCTCAGCTCTTTACTATGCCTCATCAGACAGGATGGTGATACACAGTCGTCTCTCAGGCCATCTGTACGTTTTAGGTAGAAGTAACTGAAAAGAAAATGAATTTTTTATTACTAATAATGAATATTTCATCTTTAGCCTAAGCAATTTCAAAGTTAGGCAGAATCTGAAAACTTAACACGATGTATCAGTAGGACAGCAGGCTCAACTATTTTCAATGAAAAGAGCTAGCCTGGATAATATAGAATTTTCAAGTGAAAAAAGGACTATGGTTTTGTCAAAATCCATGCCTTGGGCAGTAACCTCCTCACTTACAAACTTGCTTGCATGATTTCAGTCGGCCATATTCCCTAGCTATGAAAGATAACTCCCTGTTTCCCTGTCTAAAATCCAACCAAATTATTCCCCTTTCAAATGAACTTAAAGAAGGGACCTTTTAAAAAGACTTTGTATTTATTTATTCGATTTTTTGTTCAGAAACTGACAATTTTTTCTTTACCTTTGTTTAATTTGCTTTCTATCTATATATGGTTCCTATGGTAAACATATGAGTTTTGATGGTAAACAAATGAATTTTCTGAACCGAAAGTAATCTAACACACAGCGTTGCTGTGATCACATGTAAACAATACATTAAAATGATTAAATTGGTAAAAATATTGAGATATTTGTTTGACTATCAGTTTTTAATATAGAAAACAACTATGTGTAGTTTCTGTGTATTGTTTTAATATGTTTGTCTGATATTTTAGTTGTAAAAGCCATGTACGCTTAGTGTCGCTTCATAGCAACCGAGTTTAAAACGTGAGCGGTAACTGAACGAGATATGGCAAAGCGCATGCTCGCGCACTGACTTCCGCTCTATCGAAATACTGCATAAACGTATAGCGAAAGTTCGTAAGTGCTCCTATTACTCTCTCAAATAAGTGTGTGAAGTTTCAATCCAGTCCTTGTTTCAGTGGATTTTGGAGATATCAACTTCCATGCAAAAACTTAACCTAAGTATGCTGCCGAAGCCAAGCAGAGTTCAAAAGCTGAGGCTATTCTTGGAATAGTTGATCTAAAATGAAATTTCAAGAGCTGATGATATGAACGTAAAACTGCTCAATAAGACTCTTTGTTGGGACGTTTTGCTTATTTATTATAAAGTTCCTTTTCATTCATTGTCTGAAACATGTACTAGTATCATAATAATACATACATCATCTGATAACTCTTGTAGGTCTATACACATTTTTTCAATGAAATCATCTGCCAGTAAAACTTGCAACCACAGACCATGTGCTGTGAATGGGTGCTCCTCGTCCGCTATGGAGCCGTTTACGCTCGGAGAAACAAGGGTAATTGCAGAATCATTTGTCGCACTCATAAATGTAAAATGTCGTCCATGCCTCAACCTTCCTCTGTAAATAAAGCTACTGTTTTGAAAGTTCAAGTTTATCATAATGCTTTGGAAACATATTTTCTTCCTTTTTTTTCAAAGATGAATATTCGATCTTTTTGTAAAAGCTTCATGCCTTCAGATGAGCCAAAATACTTCAATTTATTACTGATAAGCTTATAATATTGAATAATATCATTATGAATGAGAATATACTTTAAGAGCCAAAAATATTACCATAACTTTGAATTCCATAAAAAATCTTCAATATCAAAAACTATAATTTGGTCAGCTAAACAATTAACAACTCTGATAACTTTTTATTTCTTAAATTGTACAAAATAGTTCTATAGCTTCCATTAACATGTCTTACCTCAATGCCAACGGCAGTAAAGGCAGCTTCCAGATTAAATTTAAGGTGTACGTATTCGAGTGTTCTTGTCCGTAACAACTCAGTCGGTGCATCTGAACTCTCCGTACTGTCAAATGAATTTTTCCTTGATGGAGGTCGACTTAAAAACATCAAAATATCCTGTTAACTTCTATCATACTTTGTCTAAAATTTCATTTCCTTATTATCTTTATAACTTATATTTCAAGACAAATATGTATTTTGTAAAAAAAATATACATGTATAAGAAAAACTGTTATGTTTTATTCCATTACTTTTACGTTTGTTTTGTAGTTCCTTTGTTGTCTTAATTTAAATAAGATCTATTATACTATTTTAATGAATTAAAGAAGAAATTTAATTGTGAAAAAAGGAGAGAAACTATCTATAAAACTCACTTGAAATCTGCAATATTTGGCCGTAGATCAGAATGTAGGCCTCTTGACAATGTTGCTTTTATCTGCTCTGACTCTATAATAACCAAACAATTTAAACATTATTATTTTTACAAATTTAACAAAAAAGACTGGTTTAATCATGAGGTGATAATTTGATTAAATCTTAAATACAACACTAAATAAAGAATATTTTGAATAAAATAAAGTTAACAAAAATTGAATAATAAATTAAGCCATACTGTCTAAACATATGGTCTGCATCGTTTACTACTCATTCAAAATTAATTTTTGAAATTTTCTCGTAAAATGATAAATGGATAGAGTGGTAAGGGTTAATTTTGATGAACTGTTTAAAAATTTCAGAAAAATATATGCATATTAGTAGTTTATATATGTCTCATATGTACAATTTCTCTTTAACCTCAATCTTTTTTGCTGTATTTCTATATGGTCCATTTCCACATATTTTCATTATTTTAATGAATTAGGAAATTAAGAAATACTATTTATCTAAAATTTGGGACATTATTCTTAAAATTATCAAAAGGTTGGATGCATGGGGGCTTTAAAATCACTGCAGAGAAATAAAGGAACACCTTGTTAATTAGAAAATGTTTTACAAGACCTCTGGTAGGCAAAATCTCTCAAGATTCCCTCCAGTTGGTCTATTTTTTAAAACCCAGGAGATAATTTTATCAAATTTGTAGTCAATCTTGAATACCAAACTTTAACAGAAACAAAGTTCCTGTTTATACAACATCTCATCTGTTCAGAATCCTTGCAACAGTGCTAGCAAGACCTCCCCAGATTGACGTCAATCGTATTTGCAGGGGTTAAAATCATTAACACCTATGCTTATACTCGCTCCTTGGATAATATCAGTTGGCATTTTTATTTTCAAACAAATCTTGTGCACATGACTTTAGTCATTTAATTTAGAGGAAACATCCCTTTTTAATTATTTTTTTCCTCTTATTTTAAAGAATTTTTTAACTTTCACTTTTCATTTGATTTATATAACTATAAAAAGACCCCCCCCCCTTAATTACAAACCATGAACCTGTATTCAATATCATTAGAAAGAATCTAAACACAACCTAATAGAGAATTCAATATTTAAAAGCCTTGTTTTTGAAAAGTTGCTAATAATTACTTAGAATAAATTTTAAAAGGGTCAATATAAAAAACATATGATGATAACAACCATTTTCAGGAAAAGCGCACATGACTAGACTTTAAAGTTGTTATCACAATGACAAAGTTCAACTAGATGTAACTGTCTAAATCTGTTAATCATACCTAATATTGAAAGGTGTCCTCTCTCTGCATCATCTTCATCATCATCGAACCCATCCTTGTCATATAAATTATCACGAACATTCTCCCCAGGCTCTTCCCATGAGCATTTGCTGTTATCGCCACTCAAAAGCTTTTCCAGAAAGTAATAACACAATTGAAGTATAAGCGAAGGGCATACAACACACTAAACCTTGTGTAATTTGCAGTGTAATAACAAAGACATTTGAGTTACAATATAGCAAAGTGATCCCTCGGGAAGCATTAATCACAACAAAATTACATGAAAATTGCAGACTTGGTTTGATTGAGTCTGTTCAATGTCTGTTCCATACAACATCTTAATATACACATTTCTTACTTCTTTTAAGATTTTCTTAAACAAAATTCATCTCAAAAAATGTTATGAAATACTATTATGTTATAATATCTAGCAAATATATCTGACTTGACAGGGAATTT